AGTGGAAGCTATGCTAGCGTTGGTGAACTGTCAGTTTTCTGTAAAATCTTGTGGAGCTAAATCTAAGGACTCTGGGTGGAATGTCCTGAAAACGTTAACATGTTTGTAGTTTGGTTTTGCATTGGTATTGCTTTGGTATTAGCCAGAGTTTTGTTCTCTCTTGTTAACATTGCTGTGTCTATAGTTTTGTTAATAGCCAGAATATGTTTTGATGTTTTGATGATGCTGAATAATTTGTTTAGAGTTTTTTGGATAATGTAAATAGGCGTGTTTAAAAACAAAAGTAAAGGGGGTTATATGGGGCGCGGGTACAGTGTTTTGGCCAGGTTCAAGCCTCGGACTAATGAAAGGACAGGGTCCTCTCATTGCCACGTGCAAGTCCCAGCTGGAGGGCAGGGCCCTCCCAGCACAATTATCGCCAACGGCTGTGGTAGTAAGCTTGAACCTATGGTCCAAACACCTAGCCCCACGTGCCTTGTGATAGAGTTCGGGTGCATGTAGTTGAGTAGGGTTGGAGCTCACGAGAATGCTGTAAACGACGTGATCACGCCCCTACTTTGCCTCGTGGCATCTGCTATAAAATAAAGACACGGCTTGTGGGCGCTGACATTGTCTCCTCATCAGAGAGGCAGCGTCCCACCGAGACCCAGCTATTATTCTCTTGTCTGTCTTTCCTTAATCCTTTCACCTCCCCCCCCCCGCCCCCACTCGGGATCACCCTTGGTCGTGCTGGCGTGGCACAGAGTGACAGCTCTTTCCTGGTCAGCCCTCCCTCCTTGCTCCAGTGATCACAGAGAACAAATCAGCAGGCTTGTCCAAGCAGGAACTGAGATGTCAGTCTCTCCTTTATGAGTGGTTCTCTTGGAGACCCCTCACTTGGAAGTGAGGACCAAATGCATAACATTTGATCCCTTGACTGGTGACAGACACATGACCTCATCAACCCCCCTTCTGTGTTTACCTCCACACCATCTTCTATTTATTTTCTGTGGAGGTAGAAGATGGAATATGGTTTGGGACAGCAGAACTGGCTTGCCAACTGCTGATGGTACCTTTCAGATAGGTGCCCTAACTGACAGTTCCAGGGCA